GAAGAAAATATGGAAATGGGGAGAGGAATATAGGAGAGGTATCGAAAAGGAAAGAAGGGAAACGTAAAAAAAAAAACAAGAAAAGAAGGAAAAAATGGAAACAAAGCTTTTGTAAATGTCGAGGGGAAGAGAGCTTGAAGGCAGGCTAGGGGAATGGGGAAAAAAACTGTCATGGACAGGAACAAATTCTCTATAATGAATGTGATCATTATGTATATCTAAAATGTACCAATAAAATCTGATTAGAAAAGAAAAAAAAGGCTGGGTATAGTGGTGCACATGTATAATCCCAGCACTCAGGAGGCTGAAGCAGGAAGATATTACAAGTTTGAGACTAGCCTGGGCTACAAAGTGAGCTCGAGGCCAGCCTGAACTGCATAGTGAGACCCTGTTTCAAAAAAGCAAAACTTTAAACAAAAAAAAAGAAAGAAAAGAAATCAACCAATAAGAAATGCTGGCAGGGTGGTACGGAGAAAGTAACCCTTCTCTACTGCTGGTGGGAGTGTAGACTGGTACAACCACTGTGGAAATCAATGTGGAGATTCCTCAAAAAACTAAAACTAGAGCTATTCCTCTTCTTGGTATTTTCCAGAAAGAATTAAAAGCATCATACTGCAGCAATATATGCACACCCATGTTTATAGTAGCACAGTTTGTAATAGCCAAACTTAGAAACAGCCCAAAGACCCATCAACTGATGAACTGATAAAGCTGATGCTTTCTTTTTTACAAGGAAATACTACTTAGCCATAAATAAGGATAAGTTTGAGACATTTCTAGCTAAATGGATGGATCTTGAGACTGTACACTTAAGTGAATAAACTGGACACACATATTTAAACACTGCATTGTTTCTCTGGTGCAAGAAACCAAAAGTGTAAATAAAGACCAAAATGTAAAATAGGAGCTGGGCTTGGTAGCGCATGCCTGTAATCCCAGCACTTGGGAGGCTGAAGCAGGAGGATCGTTGTGAGTTCAAGACCATTCTGGGCTACAAAGTGAGCTCAAGGCCAGCCTGAACTGCATAATGAGACCCTGTCTCAAAAAGACAAAAAAAAAAAATGTATGCTAGATATTGGGTAATTGGAAGAAAATGTACAAATAAGAAGAGCAAGGGAGGGAAGAGGGGAAATGAAAGGAAGGGACAAGAAAAAAAAGAAGCAAAAAATGGAATAAAGCTTTTGTAAATAAGGAGGGGAAGAGGGGTTGAAGGGAGAGGAGAGGAATGGGAAAAGAAGTCATATATATCATGAACAGTTACAAATTCTCCATGATTAATGTTGGTTTTTTGTGGGAGTCAGTGGTCTCTCGGTATTTCCCGGGAGAAAATCGAGGAGAGGATTTAGAAAATAAGGACAAGAGACAGTAGCCAGGGTCAGGTGGAGGTACCTCTTGCCTGATGAGCACGAGGACTGACCTCAGCAGTAGGGGTGTTTATTTTATACACTTGCAAAGTAGTATCATGAGAGATAATGTTGCCTAGCGACTAAGACTGTAATTGTCCAAGCAGGATAACTTTTTTCAATACTGAGATAGCTTGACTGCCTGAGGCACTCTGGCTCTGTCCCACCCTCACACACAGGACCAACAACCAACTCCAGCAGCTCCCAACAGTTTTTGTTTTTTGTTTTTTTCTTTTTGAGACAGGGTCTCGCTATGCAGTTCAGGCTGGCCTTGAGCTCACTTTGTAGCCCAAGCTGGTCTCAAACTCACAACAGTCCTCCTGCTTCAGCCTCCTGAATGCTGGGATTACAGGCATGTGCCACCATGCCTGGCTTGATTAACGTTATTGATATAGGGGAAATGCTAGATGTCACATAGGCTGAGCACATAGTCCCCCGAATTTGAATAATGAATTCTAAGGAACAGTGGAAGTTAACAGTAGGAAAATTTACTGGAGAAAAGGAATGGGGAATAGGAATGGGGAAATGGGGAATAGAAATAGGTCCTGAGAAACAGTGATATAAAGGAAAGAAACTCCCCACCTGAAAGATATCTGGCAGGAGTTCATGTTCTTTTTTTTTTTTTTTTTTTCCTTTTTGAGACAGGGACTCGCTATGCAGTTCAGGCTGGCCTTGAGCTCACTTTATAGCCCAGGCTGGTCTCGAACTCTCAATGATCCTCCTGTCTCAGCCTCCCAAGTGCTGGGATTACAGGAGTGCGCCACCACACCCAGCTAGGAGTTCACGTTCTCTAAAATCCAGGAATGAATTTTAGGGACAACGGAGGTTAAGAGCAGAATATATTTACTGAGGGAAAAAAAAACTTCTATCTGAGAGAGGGACAGAAAGGGGACCAAGTGGGTTGCCTAGGAATCTGTCTATCCTAGGGAATTTTATGGAGCAAAACCATGAGATGAGGTGGGTCCAAGGTGGGAAACATGGGAACTCACTAGGTGGGCATGAGATGGGACAAAACTATGGTCAACCAATAAGATTAAAAGCATAATTGCTCAGGTAAAATTGATTATATTGGATCAAATAGGGAGGCGAGTCACATAGCAAGTGGGTAAGAATACAAAACAGGGGCTTTTCCTATAGGGGGTTGAGTTAGTGACTCTTCTTGAGTTTCTCAAGGTGATAGAGACCTACTTGGAATATCAATCCCTAATGTTTACCCTTAGGGAGGTATGTGGATGCATTGGTTATATTCTTTGTCTTGAGGTCTGGCCCACAGCTGGAGGTGTCTGTCTCCCCCACAGTTGCAAGGTATCTCATCTTCTGCACTCATTCCTTTGCAGGCCTGACCCTGTCTGACTGCCTATAATATTTCTATCTAACTCAGCTGCCTATAACAGGAGGAGTCCTGAATGGGTTGCCAATGAACCTACCTCTCGAAGTTTTAGAGCAAAATCATGAGGTGGGTACAAAGTGAGTCAAAATTATGATCAACCAATAAGATTGCAAGTATAGTCACTTAGGTATTATTATCTAATGGTATCAAGGGCACACTGTACCAATAAAAACCTCAAAATTTGTGCAAAAAAAAAAAAAAAGAAATTCTATATTTTATTTTCTAAATCAAATTAAAATTTCCACAACTTCCTGTTTCCCAGCATTTGGAGAAATTCAAGTTCCAGTTTGCTGCAAAGGGCCTCCTGCCTTCTCTAGAGGCCACGAGGTGCCTGTGAGTTATTGGGGGTGAGCTCCACATTTTTGGGGGATCAGGGGTTTTTTTTTGGTACTGGGAATCAAACTCAGAACTTTGCACTTGCCAGGCAGGCACTGAGCCACTGAGCTATGTCCCAGGCTGAACCACTGTTTTCTCATTTCCCAGTGGCGCACTCTCACCCCGCAGAGTACACTTCTTTTCCTATCTTTAATACCTTTAACAAATGCAAAACCTCACTTCAGTACTTTTTGCGGTTGTCTTAACCAACCAATTCTTTGTTCAGGATACCAAGAACCTAAAAGCATCTCTAAGAGTCCATTACATCCCAGAACTCCAGTAATAAAGGCATTTTTACTTTTTGTATTTGGTCTAAGGCACTGTCTGTGGTATGCCCAGGTGTGTGTACAACAGGATGAACTGCAGTTTTTTTGTGACATAAGTATACATCAGTGCCTTGTGAGATGGCATTCAGAGGACCAGTTTGTAAAAGAATTTACCAAGGAATGTAGAAAAGAGGAAAGTTTATTTAGATCAAGATATGCTACCCAAAGAGACTGGGCAGAGTTTCAGTTTTCCAAGAGATGAATTGTGTAATGAGGGTGACAGACTGGGGTTTTCATGAGGGTTTGAGGATATTTTTAAAAAGCCAGGGTTCTAGATAGCAAATGTGATTATCTGAAGAATGTCTTTTCCTGGATCATATGGCTCCTTACAGATCTTCAGGGAGCACCTCTATTGAGGTACAGTATTGAACAGTTTACATTTGCAAGTTTGACAAGACCATTTCCTCTGGCCTTTAGCTTTAGATAACTTGATAAGGAGGTCTACACCTATTTTGACTTGTTTTGTTTTGAGCCAAGGTCTCACTATGTAGTTCAAATTGGCCTTGAACTCATGGTGATCCTCCTGCCTCATGCTCCCAAGTGCTAGGATTACAGGCTTGCACAACCCACCCAGCTACACTTATCTTTTAGAGAAGATGGGTCACTACTCTGGGAGGAAGGCATGGGCTTTATATCAAAAGATGTATTGCTGTTTTATGACCGCCTCCTGAGAGTCTGATGCCTTTAACTGGAAATCTTTTGTTAAGGGTTTTAACCGAAGCTCAGCCATTAAGAGTTTTAATCTATTTCACTGCCTACAGGTGGCCACTACAATAAGATCATATTCAGTACGGCTGATTCTGACGATGGTATGTCCCCAAACCACAGCTTCCGTTCAGAACAGACCGCCAGGCACACGAACCTCCATGGTGCTCCTCCCAGAGGCTGTCACGTAACTGGAATGCCCAAGCAGTCTGTGGACAGTGCCGGCCTATCCGTCCCAAGGGCATATATGTCTTCTGGGGACATGGGACAGTGCAAGTGGGCGCGAAGTCCTTTCGGCACGCAGCGGCGTTCGCCCAGAAGGGACGGTGTCAAGGCTCGTCGAAGCCTGGCCCGGCCTTCGGGCAGCTGGCATTACTAAGACACGGGCTGGGCAGGAGGCCACGTGCGGAGTGGGCCCCCATCAAGTGGAAAAATCACGCTCCTTGGGGACCCAGAAGAGGTCCCACAGAGGCTGATGGTCCTGAGAAGAAGACACAGAAGGGCATCCATTCCCAAGGCCACGGGAAAGCGGGTGTCAGGCTCTCACCCCGAAGGGCTTTACGCTGGTGCAGGACGCTCCCAGCCGACCTCGTCCGAGGACCGCGGCCACTCACTCCTCACCTGTGGCCACGGGCCACGTGGCTTGGTTCACCAGGGTGGGATGAAAAACTACACTTCCCGGCATACTCTTGTGGGCGCCAGGGCGGGGCCTGACACGGAAGCGCGTTTACAGGCATTACGTAATTTCCGTTGCGCGGCTAGGCTCACGTTTTGTAGTCGTGAGCCGAGCGCTAGTATGGCGTCCAACTTCCGGTTCTGTGCGACGGAAGTGACGTGCTGCGGCACGCCGAGCACAGAGCTGAGGGCAAGATGAACATGGTCTTGTGTCCTCCCGCGGCCGGGTGAGCCACGTGAGGTCTAGGCAGGTTGAGGGTGGGAAGCATAGGGCGAGAAAAAGCGGGTGGGAGGAAGCGGACGGGAAGAGCGCTCACTACTTTCCCTCTTTTAGGGCAGCTCGGGCGTTGAGGCTGGTGGGCTGGGCTTCTCGAAGCCTGCATCTACCGCCTAGTGGCCCTGCTCGCGGCCAGCCTCCGGTTGACCAGGAGGAAGACCCCAACCGACCCATTCAGTTTTCCTCCAGCAAAGCCAACCCATCTCACTGGACGGTGGGGCATTCCCTCGGAAAGGGGCAGCAGCGGCCCTGGTGGAAAGTGCTGCCCCTCAGCTTCTCTCTTATGGCTCTGGTCATCTGGTGCTATCTCAGAGAGGAGAGCGAAGCGGACCGGTGGTTGAGACAAGTTTTGGGAGAAGTACCGGAGCCCCATGATCGTCCTGAGGAGCCTGGAACGCCTGCTGCCTTCGGGGCGAGAACTAAATAGGGGGCCTGCTGGGGCTAGCAGGAGGGAAGCAACCAATCGCCCTTCGAAATTATTTGACATTGCGTTTAACTGTTTCTGTTCTGGTTATGCGCGTGTCTTCCGTCCATACGGACTCAGTTAGTGCTCTTGGCACTGACATGCGTGAAGGCAGAGCACAAAGTGAGCATCTAGTAATCTTGCCTGACACCGGTGTTCAAAGCCATTTCAGAGCCATAGAATTGGCTTTGGCTGCACTGGGTGTTGTTGGATTTGTGATGTCTTTGTACAGCCTAATCATGTTTCCAAAGCAGTTCTGGTGGCACTTGTAATCCAGTGTTAATTTACAGTCATTTGCTCTCCAAGACAATAACTGGCAGAGGTGTTAATATTTATAATGTGCCGTGTTGGTTATAAATAGTTGATGTTAGTTTTCAAGACAGAATAATTGGCAGAGGTTTTAAGCTTTATAATGTACTGTTGGGTATAAATAACAATTGATGTTAGTCCTGCATACTAAGTGAAAATACATTTTGATAAGGTTGAACCATGGTGATGTTTTTCTTTTGAATTTTGTTTAAAAAAAAAAAAAAAGTATTTTAGGGCCAGGAATATAGCTCAGCAGCACAGGTGCTTGCCTGGCAAGCGGAAGGTCCTGAGTTCAATTCCTGGTACCAAGTAATGAAGAAAAGAAAAAAAAAAGTATTTTAGTAGGCCAGCAACCTCAACTTCTCAGTTTTCCTCTCTCTGTCCTTCCAAATGGGAATTTAAGAAACCTAAATGTGAATTGTGGAATACAAAATCAAGTGGTAGCAGAAGTAAGGAACTTTTTCAGCTTTCTGCAAAGCCTTAGAAAGGCAACAATTTGCTGAGTAGAGTATACTGATAAGTATTTCTTTTCAGGGCACTGGTTTGGAGCCAGGTGTGAGGTGTGATGGTATACATCTGTAATTCCAGCTACTCTGGAAGAAGAGGCAGGAGGGATTGGCAAGTTTGAGGCCATCAGTCTAGGCAACTTCAGTGAGACGCTGTCTGCAAAAAAAACAAAACTGAAGTTGGGGGCAGTTCCTGGGTTGAATCCCCTGCGTGTGTGTGTGCGCGCACACGCACACACCCACACATCCACACCCATTTTGGGGTGCCCTAATGATATCTTTTCCCAAGCAGTGAAAAAAATCTCCCTTGGTTCTGAATTAATTGTAAGATGCATGAAAGGAAACTTTTATTTACTGAAGCTTCTAGTGGAAGTTATTTTAATGTGTTTGTAGTGCTGAAGGAAATGAGGCATTTCTTTGTTTTTGTTTTTGAGACAAGGTCTCGCTATGCACTTCAGGCTGGCCTTGAGCTCACTTTGTAGCCCAGGCTGGCCTCAAACTTGCAACGATCTTCCTGCCTCAGCCTTCCAAGTGCTGGGATTACAGGCGTGAGCCACCATGCCTGGCTCTGTTTTTTTTTTTTTGAGGCATTTCTCTGATGCAGATGTTTGAACTAAAGGTTTTTGGCCAGTCACTACCCTCTCACAAGAGCCTCTCCACACAAAGTGCTCTAATGGTCTCGCACACTTTTGTAAGTTAGGAGACAAGTTTCCCTCTATCAGTGATGTACCTGACTTTCATTTGTGCTTTATGGTCACTTTTTTTGTTTATGTATTTATTTGTTGGTCTTTTTGAGACAGGGTCTCACTATGCAGTTCAGGCTGGCCTTGAGCTCACTTTGTAGCCCAGGCTGGCCTTGAATTCACAACAATCCTCCTGCCTCAGCCTCCTGAGTGCTGGGATTACGGGGGTGCGCCACCATGCCCGGCCTGGTCATTTTTTTTGAACTCTTAAGATTTTTGTCACATTCCTTAAGACACTGGATTCCTTTATGAGTGTGGAGATGTCAGGATGCATCTTTAGGAGGTAATAGGTCACAGCAGTGTAACCAGCAGTTGGCCACACTGGGAAGGTTGAAATGGGGGTCACCTATGAAGATCAGGACCCTCAGTCTGGCTGAGTGCAAGCCACTAGCTGTACTGCTGCACAGGAAGCAAACCAGGCAAGTTCATTTTTAAAAAGATGATGAAACTGAGTTTTTGAAAGCTTGACATAACCTTAACGCCATTACATGGTCCCATTGGGCACCTAGAACTAAGATGTTTTCTTTTTGGCCTGATGTGGTTGTGACTTGGTTGGTTGCGAACCATTTTGTTTGAATAACAGTTATTTTAAACCAAACTTTTACTCTCACTAGCTCACACATGTGTATAGTCAGAACTGGAGAGAACTGTGCTAATTGAAAGTAATTTTCTCTTTTTTTTTTTTCTTGTGGTGTTGGGTATTGAACCCAGAGATGTGTGTGTAAGCACTCTACCACTAAATCCTCAGCATTAACAGCAAATTTCTTATGACAAAAGCAACATGTCTATTTGTTTTCTGGAGAAGTTAAGACACTAAGCAAGAAGATTAGAAACACCAGTAATCTTACAACCCAGAGGTAACCACTGTGAACACCATGTCATTTACATTTCCAAATTGTTCGAGAACAAGAGGGATTTAAAAAGGAAAATTCATTTCTGTGGTGCTGTATATTGAATCCAGGGCCTTGTGCAAGTTACACAAATCCTCTACCACATGCAGTGGACAGTGAGAGCCTCTAGGCTGGTGACTTCATGGCAGTGATGTGGATAGTTGATGTCATAAGCAAAAGGACATTTGGCCAGGTGGGGGCAGTGGGCAGCCTATCTCACACCTGGAGTTTCTACCTGATTTTACAACAAAGCAGGTTCTAATATGAATAGTTTTTTTTTTTTTTGGTTTTTTGGTTTTTCTCCGGTACCGGGAACCGAACTCACGACCTTGCGCTTGCCAGGCAGGCACTTTGCCGCTGAGCTAAATCCCCAGCCCCTACTAATATGAATAGTTAAGTAAGTCTTTTATTTATCTTTTTGTAGGGTGCTTATTTCCCCCACTGAACTGTAGCTTGTGTTTTTCCTAAGGTGCTTGACTTCTCCATATAAACTCCTAGTAAGTCTTCAGCATGGTGGAGGACCACTGCAAGCATAGTAGAACATAGTCAGTTACAGTAATGCCATGGACAAAAGGAGGAAGAAATTGTGAAAAATTAAAATTTTTTCAAGGAAGAGGAGGTTCACTAAATGACTTTTTTGAGACAGGGTCTCACTATGTAGTTGGAGCTGGCCTTGAACTCACAGTGGTCTCCTTGTGTCAGCCTTCTAAGGGTTGGGATTTTTTTTCCCTGCAAAAAGGTGAAGTAATACACTCAGTGGAAACCCTGGTCTAAGCCTGGTACTACCCCAGCCTTTGAAGAACATTCATTGACAGTGTGAAAAAACAACACTGCAGTCTTTATCGCCTATTATACTTTGCTGTCGCAAGGAAAATGTCTCAGGTGAGAAGAAAATTGAAGTGGCTTCTCAACAGCAAAACTTCTAAATTCCTTTATCCTGAACCCTCAGCTTCCTTGTTTGAGTTCTGAGGCTTTCTAGCCAGCTCTGCTGTCTCACAGATGAAAAGTGATCCTTCATTGTTCTGTATCTCTCCAAGCTACAGAACCTAGTGTTAGCCTAGATGCCCCCCCCACACACACACTTGGGATTGAACCCAGGAGTGCTCTACCACTGAACTACATCACGACAATCCTACTCCCCACCTCCTTTTGAAACCTGATCTGGCCAAAGTGCCCTAGCTGGGTTATGCTTCTTGTCAGTAGCTGGAATTACAGATGTGCACCACCGTGCACCTCTGTCCTAGACTTTTTTTCATTACTTGCACCTAACCAATCTTGAGATATGCTTATTCTGAAGAACTGAGGGACTGGCCCTTCTGTGCTTCATTTTAATGCTTGATTTACTTTGAAAATGCCATGTTCTTGTTTTTTTTTTATCATTTTAATTTCAAGATGTCATGTTTGTAGAGGTAATAATTCATTGAGAAAATGTGAACATACTCATCCTACCAGCAAGTGGTAATTTTCACTTTATTATTTAAGACAACACGTGGGCTGGGGATGTAGCTCAGTGGCACAGCGCCTGCCTGGTAAGCAGGAGGCCCTGAGTTTGAGTTCTGGTACTAATAAATAAATAAATAAGCCTGGTGTGGTGGTGAACACCTGTAATCCCAGCACTGGGGAGGCTGAGGCAGGAGGATCATTG